TTGGAAACTTAAAAGTTGCCAAAATCTAACACTCAGAATAATATTCTTGGTCATTGTGTCCAGATGTTTTGTTATTTTAGCAGTACTCTTATGCAGTGGTGAATGCTCTACAACTGGCTAGTAGTGTACTTCCAGACCACTAAAACTGAAGGAATAAGCTAACATTTTCTCTCCTCTATTCAGTAAAAGCTTTCATTTTTGCATGGAATCATGTGCGTGTATTGTGCATCATAAACACCGCAGTGTTTCATAGCATTATGTGCACCAGGCCAAGTAAGCAGCCTAAATGTAGATCTGAAATTGTACTTTCAGATTTGTCAACATGGAAAAGACGGAGAATACAGTTGTTAATGTCGGCAAGTTGCATGATTACATTTCAACATGATATGACTTCTTGACAAGGGTTTTCCACTCTATTTATAGTACATATAAACATAAAGGGGCTAGGTTTGTAGTGAAATAGGGATTGAGATTTGGATTTCATATACAAAAGGATTTTCAGGTATGCAGTGCTGGAATGCATGGTCAACTACTTCTTTCACCATGACTTATTTTACTTTGGTAAAAAATATTCTGAAAAAGTATGGTATGTCAAGAGACTTGGTAAAATATAACAAAATGAGCAACATATTCTATAACGTTGCATGGAGGCTTGGAATTATTGTTAAATACACATATCAATAAGTACTGAATTTATTAAAAACAAGAAGGCAAAACTTGCAGTTTATAATATTATGGTGTCATTGTTATGTACCTTTTCATTACATAACATTCTGAATATAATGGCAGCGCAATAATAAATTGCAAGTCTCTAATATATATGCATTATTTGCTATACGTAGTTCATGCTACGGGCATTATTCATTTCGAATGCCGCGCACTTCGTGCGTTCATTTAGTCGAATGTGGCAGGGGTTCTATGACTTGTGTAGACGTAGGAGAAATTTAGATTGATACATCGGATTTTATGTTCTCTCCGAGCAGTTCTGTACCCCAATTCGAAAAATTAAACATTGCATATTTTAAAATTGTCACCTTGCCAAAAATAATAACTTTAAAAAGCAAATAAAATTCCGTCACATAAATGAGAAGGTTGGTATTTATACTGCTTATAGTAATCCGTGATTCCCACAACCGGAAATAAGCTACACCTCTGCTTTTTTGGCTTTCTGCTAGGAGTTAGTGAACACTACAAGCAATTTGATTTGTATCAAACTATTGAAGCAGGTTTGTAATATGAGATTGATTTATGAGAGATATTTCTGTTTTTTAAGTCCTTGAGGCTTGGTTAGTTAAATCATAAGGATGAATTCTTTGTTTTAAACTTATTGCATCTGTGTCAGTGGTACTCCTGTACAGTGCCGAATTTAGGCTAAATTACAGACGAAATATTAATAATGAAAGTCAGATGAAATTGTAGTTTGCTGAAGCATTAGCCCCTCCCCCGAAACATTATAATTAATTTTTAAAAGCATACTCAGAACCTAACCGCAGGTATGCAAACTAAGAAAAACGGAAAGCGTAGCATTGCAAAGAACGCTGGACACTTGATTGCCTCTGTATATAGAATTTAAACGAAACATGTTTTATATTCAGCATTTAATATAAGCGTACTTAGAAGGACATACGTGTCATAACAACTCTGAAGAGTTGATAACATCTCACAATCATGTTATATAAAAACAATTTCTTTACCATCCACATTTGTATGCTAAGAATGTAAGGAGTTTGCATTTGTCTGTGTACTTGTTGGATCGTTGCGGTTTCAAATCACTGCTATTATTTGTATTCATTGTTATCTGTATGTATAATTATTTCTGAGGTAACTAAACCTTCACAGTGTGAAGTTTACAATTGGATGCCTAGTACTTTGGCATGCACTTGAAGTTAGGGTCTTTTAGGTGTATTGGCATTTTTGTAAGGAAAGATTTTAAAAGAAGTTAATAATTACAGTTATTACAAGTGGGGAATAACTGCACATTTCAGAGATCATGTGCAAATATTACAGATTCTGAGGTGTATATATAGTTACTAGATCTTGCAAACTGTCATATCCTACCAAATGTCCACAATCTGTAAAACATCAAATTCAGTAATAGGTATGTGGTATGTGGCTTCCATATTGTAATAGTGTTAAAAGTTTAAATTCAGTGAAATGCTTTTATTTCAGATAATGGCAGGAGATTCACATGTAGATGAATCTCAGTTCAAGGGTATTTCTAAATATTTTAATTCAACTACATCCACTGGACGAGCAAATGTAAGTCTTATGCACTTTTTTGAAAGTATGAATTCTCTTAGTTGACAGGAATTTTTAAGAAAAGTTTAATGTTGATTACAGTTTGGGTTGAGATTTAGTGAACATGAAAATGAATGTTGTCCGTGTTGTCCAGATTGGCTCTGGGGTCAAACCAACCTCCTATCCACTGGGTACCGGGCGCTGTTTCCTGGGGATAAAGTGGCCAGGGCATGAAACTAACCACTCACCTGCAACTAGCGCCGAAGTCAAGAAAACGTGGATTTATACATCCACTCCCCATGCACCTTAATGGTGTAGTGCTTAATTAGTTAAGCACAGGGACAAGTTTAACTTTCTTTTAACTTTTGTTTTTGATCACCCCTTTCTTTTTATTGCTAGTGGGGTGGGACTAAGTCCCTTGTACTGCGGCCACTTCTGGCCTATTGTACCAGCCCCAGATGATAGGTGAGGGTGACTGTGGAGCAATTGGTGGAATGAAGATTGGCAGGGGAAACCAAAGTACTCGGAGAAAACCTGCCCCAGCGCCACTTTGTCCACCACAAATCCCACTTGACCAGACCCAGGATCGAACCCAGGCCACCACGGTGGAAAGCCAGCATCTAACCGCTTGAGCTGTGGCGTGGCCTTGATCACCCTTAGTCAAATTGTTTCACTCATATCTGGATAAACTGAAAAGAGTAAGCATTCCACATTTCTTTTATAAGAATATTTGATCATTCCCCTTTTTTATTATGTATATTATCTCTTTTTTAAGCATATGCTAAAAATAATGACTTTATAAACCTTTTAAGTTTTCTATGGGCCAGTAATAATCAACTTTGCAGTACTAAATATTTTGTATGGTGGATTATAGACTACGTTTTATAAAATTATGGATATTCCACTTTACATACAGCTTTGAAACATGGACATTGACAAAAATAGCAGAGGCAAAAGATGGAGAACAGCAGAAATAAAGTTTCTTAGGAATGTTGTGGGATACACATTAAAGGATCAAATATGAAACACAGTGATTGTAAACAAATTAAAGAGATTCAATTTAAATAACATAATTTGGAATCAGGCGGCCCGTGTATAGGCACTGCGGAACTGCAGCACCCCCAATTTCCACATGATATTATTGATAACATTTATATAATGATTCCTTTTTTCTTTAATTCTTTCTTTATACTTGTACAATACAATATATAATCCTTAAGCTTAATGTCAGTAGCCAAATCTTTGTATAGAACTGTGCACTTCTGGAGCAGCACCCCCACTAATTTTAGCTTCGAGCCGCCACTGTTTGGAATAATAGTCTTAATTGGATTCATTGTGTTGAAAGACTGGTAGCTGAATGCATTCCAAAACAGTGAAGGGACTATACACCTAGATGAACAAGATCCAATGGATGCCCAAAGATGTATGGAATGGATTATAAAGGTTTAAACCTTGATGATGATGATTATGATGATATTTTCCTGTAAATATAAGGAATCCAAATTCAGGATGAGTAGCAGAAGGGAAAAGTAGACAGCAATCATTGCCTATATTTGAAGTATAACACTAAATTTATACTTCTGGATATATTTTAGTAGTGAATTGAAAAATGTTAATTCTAGATGGCACAAAGGTATGAAATCATCACAGAGAAGTATCTGTGATATAAAAATGTCTGTGTAGTGCTAATAAGTGTGATTTAAAATTTTACTGTGGTAACAACTACAGAGAATCAGTGTGGTAATATTTCAGATTAAAGTATACAAAATCCATGTGTTTGTGTGTTTGTTTTTCTCTAGTTTGGTTTTTTAACATGTGTTCATATTGCTAGGTGGCGAAAGCAACATATGCTACCATAGGACTGCTTGTCTTATTCTTCAGCCTGAAGCCCAAGAAGAAGCCTACTACAAACTAGAAATGGGAAAATAATTTTTTCGAAAAATTTAGGTGACATTAGTTATGTTTGTCTTGCAGATTATCATATTCTGACATAAGTGAAATTATTTAAGATCTTCAGTAAAGATTTGTGGTGTATTTTGGAGCAGAATAAATGTTGAACTATAAATGAATTTGTATTTATTTTTTGCAGAATTTATGCCTTAGAATATTTAAAAGTTCATGAGTGCATTGTATGTTTTGACAATGCTGAACCAAAGCATACGAACAACGAAGCACATAGAAAATTGTTTTCACTGTTTGAGATACCGTTTGCAGAATAAAATGAAGTGTTTCGTTATCCGACTTACCCCAATAGACCATTGAAGGTCGCAATGCTAGGGACAGTTTTATGGCTGACCCCTCATACACATACCCCAAAGATCAATATTTCGATTTTCTGTGTGGCCTTGAGTATTAGGTTAGGTATCGACGTTCGGAAGACCCGCTACCGTCACATTAAGGGTAGATGAGATGTTTCATTGTATCTGAAATCAATCAGAGTTTCGCCTTTTTTTTTCTACGAACAAAAATTGACAACTGGAAGAAATGAGTATCATGCTTCCTCCATCGGACGTTGGTATCCCTGGTTCATCACGCTGGCCGATGTGTCTCTATTATTCTCATTAATAATACTACCAAATTCCGCGAGTAGCGCTGAAGATGTTTCAGTCCGTTCAATCAGGTTGGTCAACCCTTACGCTGTGTAAGGTATAGGCTATTTATGTTTCTTGCTCCTGCCGGAGGCAAATACCAAATCGAAGCGCTTCTAGTAGCGTTGGAAGGTAATTACCTACCTCGGACGGATATAGTTTACTTGTTAGTGAAGGTTTGTAACAACGACTGTCTTGGAAGGGAACGAAGTAAACTGGAAGTAAATAATATGATTATTCCTACGTTCCACGTTGACACTATAGCGGAATATTGGCAGTACTTCCATTTTCATATTTATGTAAAACAAATTGAATTAAAATTTATACTACAGATAAATTTGTCAAATTTTCCATTTCACCCTTCTCGTGCACGCCATCTGGTGTGTAAACCCCATGAACTATTACCAACCACATTCTGCATCGTTCTGCATAATATTTACCCCATCCCAATGCACGCATTTTTGCGTACGTTAGGCTTGTGTGTTGTCAGTTGTAGAGCGTAGTAAAAATTATGTGAAATGAAAGGAATAGCCATTCCTGCTGAGGCATCGTGTTTATGGAGAGATTTGGCGTTGAAGCGGCAAAGTTTATCTAGGTAAGTTTCAGTGCATGCACATCCAGGTACCATTAAAATTTTCAGTCCACAAACATAACCTTCGAACTCTTTGAGTAACCGCCAACCAAAGCACAGTTAAGTAGTTCGCAAAAGTTAAAGTCGCGCCGGCACTCGGTCGTTCATCAGATTTCAGAACATTTTAAAATGTGCGAAATATATGAAAGAGAAACATTTTATAAGGTTTTGTCACAAATGTATATGCCGTTATATTTTATTAAATTAGTTTTGACAAACGGTACGGGTAAACAAGTATGCCATGTAAATAAATAAATAAATTATAGTTCTGACCGAATTTTATTAAATTGTATCGTCAGATTAGGAGTTCTGCTGTAGGATCGAGAGAGTCCAGGTTCATATCATAGCCCAGAAATTGGCCATTCTGTCACATTATTCTTGAATCCCTCTAGGTAAATACCGGTGTAGTCCATCAAAGTAGGGCCATGAGCCCTTTTACATCCTTTTCACCTTATTATTTATTAATACTGTTATTTGATTCTGTATAATTTTAACCATTAAAAGTGTCATTAAATAAACCATAAATGAAATAAATTAGCCAGATCTATGTACAGGACCCTTTTCTTGTAATAAATGTTTGTAAAGTAAAGATTGCTAGTTGTGTTTCTTTCATGATTTAATAAGATTTATGAATATGTAGGCAGGAGGATAGAAACAGCTGTAGCCTCATATGAGACTATCATATGTTTGTTTAGTGGCATTGAAGAGATTAAGTACAGTTTTAGTTATGATAAATTTTTGTCAGGTTTTGAACCCATTATATCACATTTATGCAGTTCTGTAAATAGTTTTTATTAGCAACCAATTGATTTGGTTACTAGATAAGTATTTTTACTGTCTAAGTAAATAATTTGAAATTTTATTCACTATCTAGATTATATTATATCCTAGTTATTTTGTCTTAATTATGTTTCAGGTTAATTGGGCTGTAATTGTAACAGTATTATTTCTGCATAAGAAACAACACTGGTCTGAATATATCTTCATTTATTGGTTAAAGCTGCTGGCACGTGTATTGAAACAGACCAAATTTAGAACATGTCCAACTGGAATATGGACACATTATGCAACAGATTTGCTTCAAATATCAGTATTTGCAGTAATTAAATAATTTTTTATTTTATAAGAGTAGTGATTCAGTTTGCATTTCACTTAAAATGAGTCACAGTGAGAGCACTAATGACAAAAATGATAGTAAGAGTGATAAACCGAAGTCAGGTGTTGTCTTGGAGACGGAACGTAAGACTAGCAGTAAAGTAGGTATAGGTTTGATTGAGACTATTCTAGGGGAAATGAAAAGTGAATTTAATCGAGAAGTGAGAACCACTGAAAATGTGAAGACAGAGAAAGAAAAAGATGAAGATAAAGATAAAGGCATCCAAGCGAGCAAAGGATTGATTGATGGCCAGTCTTTGACAGTGAAAGGTGAGGCTCCAGAATCTGAAACTGATGAACAAAAACAGAGTGACATTAATCTGGACACTGAGTCAGGAGGTAATAACCAAAACAGCGCTGTTGTGTTTACTGTTAGCTGCGAAAGTGAAAAAGAGAGTGAAGTAATTGATAGTGCAGAGACTCCAAGTGAATCTTCAAAGAATGACAGTATATTATGCAAGGCAAGTGGTGATGCTAAACCTAGGATTGTAATAACCCTAAAGACATCAGAGGACTCCAGTGAGGGAACCAAGAAAATAAAAGCGAAAAGCACACAGGATAGTGAATCAAATAGTGAAGAAGTCTGGAGTTTAGTAAACCCAGAATTGAAAGGTGAAACAGGTGGTGAAACATCAGCTGTACCTCCTAAAACTGCTTCTCCCAGTCTAGCATCAGGGAAGCGTTCTTTACGGAGTCAGGCAGCAGCTGCTGCAGCTAAGGCTACTGTTGAGGAACCAGCAGGTGTGAAGCGTTCAGCACGACGACGCTCAAAAGACTCTCCACGGGAATCAGTGTTGCAGAGTGCAATTGCTCGTAAGGAGAAATCATTCAGTAATTTGAGCCAAGGTGAAGATAAAATCAGTGCTGCACGGAATCTGAAGGTGTCAACTTATCGCTCACCTCGTCTTAGTCCCATTGAGAAGAACCAAGCTGCAGGGACAACACGAACCTCCAAGTCTCCTGCCAGAGCACCACTGTCTCCATTTAAATCTCCGAAGCTTTCTCAGCAGAATTCATATAATGATCAGGCTTCTAGGTCTAATAAGCCTGAAGACAATGCAAGTACAACTGCAGAACCAACTACCAGGTCGTCTTCAACAGGAAATAAATCTACTGTCTTCAGTACAAGTAAGGCTGAAACCACTGTGAAAACAACAGTGAAACCTCAAAACTATGTTCAAAGTGGTCATGCTCAAACGTATACAAAAACTGGAAAACGTCGCTACCGTCCATACAAAGGTCTCAGGTACTCATTTACTGGGAACAATGTCAGGAGAACAAAGCCATCTCGTCGACAGATTAAGGAATCTAATAGCAACAATAACGTGGATGCTGCAGAGAAGAAATCTCCAGAACCTGAAGAAACAAATGAGGTAGCAGTAATGCCCGAGGAGCCACTTGCAACAGTTGTTTCATCACAGCAAGAGGAACCAGAATGTGCTGACCCCATTGCTGAGAGCCATGCTGCTGAGTTTCCCAGCGTTGATCTGTGTGGTGAGTTATTTTCTGCAGTATAATTGTAAGGTGTAAATGTAAAAATTAGATGAGTTAGTGCGTGATTTTCAAACTGTAGAGTGAACTGTCAACCCAGTTGTGTAGATGACAGACCAGGAGTCTTGACATGTTTCTGTTGCCACATATGTTCCTTCAGAAAAAATGAATTGAAATAAGTACTGATTTATTTATTAATTAAATACTTAAGATAGTTTTCATTCTATCTCAGTAACATAAATATTTACTCTGTTAGCTGTGGGTTTCTTCAGAGTATCAGGATTTTTAAGTACCAACTCTTAAATATATCACGTGAAATATTTTACTTATGAAACATGTAGTCTGACGACAGGTCACATGATTTTTCTTAGATAAAGATTGCTGAATTTCTTCTGACAGTTTGAGGATTTGACATCTTAAATTTGCCATCTATATTCAAACAGGCAGTCGCAGTGGGAGCCCAGTAATGACTGAAGCATGTCAGACTACATCACAAAAGAGAAAGCTGCAACCAGATGATCCTGATGATAATGGTGATGATGAAGTGAAAGGTGAGTCATCTGCATCGAATCTTGCTTTCAGTCCAAGGCTTTCCAATTCACTCAGTTAGAAGCATACTTAGAGGAGTTTTTATGGAGTTTTGTTATATATAGAGGCCCGTGAGGAAAATTGTATTTCCTATTGATATGATGGGCCACGGCTTAATGGCCAGTATTTTAATTCCTGTCAGGAACACTGGAATTTTCTTCTTCTGGCAATTTTGAGAATACTTGAGGGCCCACTGATCCTCCCATCTGGAGTGTCTTGGAGGCCTTTTTCCACTGCAGTAAGGGGGCCAGAGTATGAAGCTGATTGCTCACATGTATCCAGTGCTGAGGCGCTTTGCATTCATTACCAGTAAACATTGTAAAGGCATGCATTTGCAGTCCTTATTTTCCAAGAGATTTTCTGAAGCAATAATAGATATAATATGTTCAGACCCTAGTACAGTTTGCATATGCCATATATGTGATCAGAATATGAGTCAAAAATACTGACGAAAAATGTTGAAATCAGTCTGAAAGAATATTAAGTATTAAGGACAGTCACTTAAAGAGATATAGCAAATGTAAATAATTCTAAGAATTCTGCTGTATGTTAATGTGGGCTGATGCTTTGTTGTGACTTTGCTTACACGTCTGTAACAAAGTGTTCATATTTCAAGTAATATTTTTCATTACATAACTCTTTTCTCTTACGCCAGCTATTGAGAAAGTGAGACAGTTTTTAGAGGACAGCACAGAATGAAGTGATTGTCAGTAAGAAAATTGTCATCCTCTTATGAGCTGTCATGATCAGGGCTGTTGCATGTGCTGTGGCTGAGAGAACGGGCTTGTGGCAGTGTTAAGGGACTGGATGTAAATAGTATTTTTGAAGTTCTGACCATAGTGATTAAAACACTGTGTATTCTAATTTTGTGTACCTTTTGACATAGTTGTTTTTGCAGAGGATGGGAACAAGCGTAGCCGTCTCAACAACATTCCTTCTCCAAGCCCAGCAGACGGCAGTCAAGTACCAGCAAAACCTGAATCCACTGCCATTTCAAGTGGGGTAAGTTACATCAGATTGTGATGTTGAAGATCTGGGAATAAAGTGTGTGAAACAGATTTTGTTGCAGGGCCTGGTGAAGTGTAGGGAACTAGAGTTGGGGTGAGAGGAAGGCATTGGTGTGGTCATATTTATTTATTTATTTATTTATTTGTAGTTTATTTAACAATATTCTCAGGAAATGAGGCTGTATATTTTTGAATGACTGGCTGATAATGAAGAATGAATTGGAAAGGATTTGGAAGGAATCAGTCACGACCTGATTCAGGATGATACTGTTATATGGTATCATTCTCCTGGAGGGCCTGGAGAAAGCCACAAGAAATGTCAGTCAGTATAGTTTGTATCTTGGTCAGATTTGAACTGGGTGCTTCCCAAATAAAAATCAGGAGTGTTGGTGCTTGAGGATATTCTCTTGGTTATGTGAATATATGGTATTACTGGAAATGGGATTCAAGTAATTGAAAACAGTTAATCATGTAAAGAATACTGATTATGAGCAGTAGTACTTCAAATTCATTATATTCTCTTCCCAAAACCTTGCCCTCATTGTCTGAGTGATCACTACATAATTGAGCACTTCATAGCTTTGTATAGATATGCTTTTCCATGACACAACACTCTTAACATGTGTTGCATGGATTGTTCAATTGTTTGCAGGCTGGTACTGCTGCGCTGTGTTGCTGTCAGACCAAGTCACAGCTGTTTGTATCTACTTGTGGCCAGAATGGCACTGCAAGTGAACTATACTGTCAAGCTATGGATACACTGGATGATCGTTTAGTTGGCTGTTGTAATGCTGTCACTGCCCAGGACACAAGGCTTTCGCGTCCAAGTTGCAGAGTACCATACCTGATTTTATGTGATGTTCACATGCAGCGATTGCTTAGACATAACTGTTGTCCAGGCTGTGGAGTTTTCTGTACTCAGGTATTCAGATAGTTCTGTTTAATTGAAGAGTTCTGTCTGCTGAGATGTAACACCATATAGGTCATTGAAAATCAGCCACGGTGTTACATCTTCATAACCACTACAGTGAGAACCTCAAATCCTGTGTCGTTCTGTATAGTGTCTTTGTCTCGCATGTTTGTTAGGCAAAGGCCAAGGAGACGGCTTCCAGATGTAGAATCGAACAAGAATAGATTCTCTAAGCCAGTGATTCAGTCACTGTTACCACTGTCCAGAATTGGCCACTAGCAGAATCTCAAAACTCCTCCATCTGTGGGGGCTTTTCAGCATAAAAAGAAAAATATTCTCCTGATAACATATTGCAACCCTTCTGAAGATCAGATTTTGTAATTTATAATTATTATTTCAATAATACTTCACATTGGCAAAACTTTGAATAAATATCTTATCAAGAGTTCTCTTTTGGGATGATGATACAACGTAGTCTGGTGAAAGTCAGCCAATATTTCATATAACATGTCACCTCCATATTCAAGGTTGAAGAATAAGCCAATCAAGCATGAAGCAGGTCTTTAGTTTATTCTTTGGCCCTTAAGCTGGAGTGACATGTTCTTCCAAAATATCTGTTGATTTTCACAAGGCTACATAATGGCGCTACATCCCAGAAGATAGAATTCTCGACAACCACTACTGTGAGAACCTCAGAGTCTATAAATTTCTTGTTTTGTGTGAAGTCTCCTGTGATTCTGATCTTGGTTGTGATCTGAAGATTGGGACCACATGTCTAAGCATTCATGGGGAGCCATTACATATGATAATATTCAGGCACTAATTCCATGGAGCAATATACTTATTGAGAAGTTGATAGTCCATCAGCTGGTCAAAAAATTCATCACATTTAACCTTTTACATCCAAAGTGCATATAGCAATACACTGAAAGGTACATTCATTGTGGCCCCGTACACACAATGAAGCATTTAAATGCTGCTAGTAGATGTGCATGCATAATCCTAAATAATTATTTTTAAGTATAGTATATTTCACTGCACATACATTTCTTTTCTGCTTGGTGTATATATAGGCTTCACACACACCAATTTGTGAAAAAGTGGGAAAATCTTGCACAGTACGCATCAGAATTACAAAAAATAAATAAATAAATAAAACTAGAGTATAATTTTTTATCTAAATATTTTCAAATCTTACATAATAATATGTGACACTGTTTTTTGCTGATAAAAATGAAGTTAGTACCATTCTTTTATCATAAAAATTGTATTAGGTACAGCAATACATCCACTCCCCCATATGCCTTCATGGCGTAGTGCTTAATTATTTAAGCATAAGGACAACTTTACCCTTTACCCTTTTAAAATATGCTTAAAATTATTTAAATGCCCAACAGCAACAGGAATTTAAGTAAACTATGTCTGATTCACCCTACAACCATTTAAAATGCCCAGCATTTAAAGGTCATAGAACATGGAAGTTGATTACCTTGATTACAGTAGCCTGCCACTGGAGTATGTCATGTGCTAGTTGAATACAGCCCACGTCCTATTTCTTTATAGGTACTATAATATTTTCATTCCTTCTCTGCCATTGTCACCCAAACAATTCTTTCCTTACAGTTCTTTTTTCCCTGGTCTCACACATTTTGTTTGTTTTCTCAATGAATGTCACATCTACCAGCCATCTCATTCTTCTTGGTTTGATTACATTAATAATATTTGATGAAGATGTTCCCCATTTTGCATTTTTCTCCTGTGCCCCATTACTTCCTGTCTCTTAGGTTCAGATATTCCTCTCAGCACCGTTTTCAAACACCTTTAATTTTTGTAAGATTTGAGGTTTTCACGGCGGTGGCTATGAAGAAAGCAGTCTTCTGGGATTTGGCACCGTGTATATGTGGTGTTAACCGACGTTTCGGAGGAATGTATCGCCTCCATCTTCAAGGTAAAAGGAAAAATATAAGAAATCCACAGGCGAAGAGACCATGAGAACCAGTAAAAGCAGTCTGTGGATTTCTTATATTTTTCTTTCTACCCTGAAGATGGAGGCGATACGTTCCTCCGAAACGTCGGTTAACGCCACATATACATGGTGCCAAATCACAGAAGACTGCTTTCTTCACCTTTAATTTTTGTTCCTCCTCCGAGGTCAGAGACCACACCAATTTTCACACCAGTATACAGCTAACTCATAGTTATCCTTTGTATTGGAGGGGATAGTGATGATGGTTGAAAGCATCCGTAGCATTTGGGCTGGAGAAATATTGGGAATAATTGAAATAATGTATAACCCAAATATCTGTAAATACTCACAATCTTTCTTGTATTCAAACCAGAAAATTAGTTATTATATATTTACTGGTCACTTCTGGTTACTTAACAGTTGTAGAAGTATTTTCCAGTAGGAGATTGCAACCTTTGTTGAATGGTAGTAGGCTAGATCAACAAAATAATAAAACAGAAAATTGCAATAAGGTGAAGAGAAGTACAGTCTACTGAAAATTGCTGTAAAGCATTACTGATAACATGTTACCAGAACAGATGTGTTGGTATGTCTGCATTGTAGTAAAAAATCAATACACAAACTGAAAATGGGATATTAATTTTTCAGTTCATTCATTGAATGTTCATAAATTGAGAGATTAGTATTCTGTGTTTGATCAAGATTACTGATGTCCAGTTGCTTTTAGGGGAAATTTGTACAGTGTGCGTCAGCTCACTGGTATCACCGTGACTGCCAGCTGACAGTTGATTCAGCTTCTGTTTGTCCTCACTGTGGTCTTGATTCTCCTCACACAGATGTGATCCTCACTATGAGGTCAGGCAAGAACCCAGTGTTTTTGCCTCAGCAGAAGCCACCTAAGAAAGTGTAAGTAGCTCCCGTAATTATCTATTGGGTCCACTTTTTTGTGCATTTTTTGCATCAAGTGCATATAGAGGAGATAATATCTTTCTGTGAGCATGTTTGCATTTCTGAAGCTAGTTAATGCTTTCCTCTCTTGTATCATTGAGTTCTGCACACTATACACCAGTATAAGTGTTGTCAGAAATGGTATTATTGTAGGCTTGTCAATGCAAAATCATTCTCACAATTTACAAACCATGATCACAAATAATTTGTATATGTAGTTGTAGTTGGTTCCGTAATGTAAATAAATACAGCATACTCTCCAAATTTTGACACAGATTAAAAAGGAAGAACAGAATTAGCAGATCATGAAAAAAACGTGATAAAGGAGAGAAAATGAATGTGATTATGCACACTAATTAGAATAATCTTTTTTCAGTACCAGAAAGTTTGTAAGGTAGACCCATAACTATTGGTTTTCTAGATATTACAAGGTATGAGAATTGTTAAAAATGTAATGAAAGGATATTTTTAAATACTGTTTGCAGTGTGGTATAGTATAAATGAAATAGGATTGAAATATTTCCACTAAAAGTTAAGATACATAGAACACTTAACCCGTTGCCGTGGTTCGTCGTGTATGTTTCGTCAGGGATTTAAATCGTCTGGGGGGGTTCGACGTGTATGTTTCGTTCAGCTGCACACCTATGTTATAACGCCCATAATAATTGATGGTTTTGCTGTAGATTGTTAGATTTTTCGCTGGCCTGTTGTCAGTAGAACAGAGTATAAATAAGACACGACTTTATCTGCGCCAAGTCATCGTTACATATGCCTGTCTTGCAGCAAAGTTCCTGTGGTTCTGGCGAGCGGTTTCTAGCTGTACTGTTATGAAAGCGTGTTTTCTTTGCTTTGAAGATATAAACAGAAGNAATTAATGAAAGTAAGTTGAAGGTAAAGTTTATATTTAAGTGTCATTCCATGAAGATGTATACTTTAGAAAACATAAAGACACATTCTTAACCTGACCACTAAAGTAGGTGAGCGGTCAGTTTAACGATAAAGCCTCTTATCCCTCAAAGTAGTAGCTTCCAGTACCTGTTGAATAGCGTGCTGGGTGGGCCCAGAAACTGATATGAACATGGTGATAAAGAGAAAAATCCCTCACCTGTTGAGAATTTAGCCCCGGTTCTTTAGTCTGTAGCAGTCACTTTTTTGACTGAGTTATCCTTGCTCATAATTCCAAAGTACAGATGAACAGTATGTATTTTCTAGCTCTGACAGTATCCATGATGAAAGACAGAGGACCCCTTTTGTTTGAATTTTGCAGGCCTTCTGCAAAAATGACTTTTAGCACCAGCAGGGCAGGAGCGAAGACTGAAGAGGTGACCCTGAGAGAGCCAACACCTCCATTAGTGCCACCAGCAATGCTGACTTCACAGATTTCTTCTACAGGATTGGACAAGGACAAGTTAGCCGAGTTGTTGAGTGTTGCTTTCAGCATGCGCAAACCCACAACCCCTGCTCCCAGGTCTGTCCTTTTATGTTTTGCTTGTGCTAGAGGCACTCCATGATGCTGCCATTTTCAAGGAGGTGAGGAATTCTTGAGATAGAGGACAGATGCTGCTGACCCACTAAATTCTCATTTTAATCAGCATTGCTTAACAAAAACACCCACCTTCTGCAGAAGTGGCAAAATCTCTTGTTTAGGTGTGAAGAAAGTCAAAAGCTTCAATAGAACACTGTTATATGAAATATGGGGATGAAATATATATGTAATTTTTCTGTGTGTCTTTGCTATTCTGGCTGCTGGTTAAGCAGTTTTGAGAGACCTCTCTATGTTACACCCCTGCTTAATGTGATTCCTCAGTTTGGGTGTTATACAGTGTGTTTTAGCAGGGCCCCATTACTATGTGTTCAGTTTAGTTTTCTGGTTTTGTGTTGAGTTCATGCTTATGATTCCACATTTCCTTCGTTTGTGTTGCACTGTGAAATCTATGTATAAAAGATATGTGGTGTTGGAATTTATTTGCTTGCTTTCATTTTAAAGTTTGTTGTGAATAGCTGTATCATTACCAGCTGTTACGCAAGGCAGAACCGTTATGAGTAGGGCCCGGATTTTTATGACCTAAAAACTATAAATATATGCATGCACTTATGACCCAAAATTATGTCAAATATGACCTAAAAAGTGTAAAATATGACCTTAAATATTAAATGGGACATAAAATTTCACAATTTTAATTACAACTTTTACTAGAGTTTAAGAATAAAGATGATGAATATATGATAGTAGGTCCTACTTACCAAATTAGCCCTATTATGTCTCTGAAGGAAAGAAAACTGATGGAATTTCGACATTTCGTACTGGATTAAACCATTCATTGTTTTCTTTTTAATACTGATATTTGCGTTCATATTTTAGACAAACACTGGTGCACATGGTATGAACACTAACTTAACTCTGTTATCTAAAAACACCATTTAAAAGAACACAAGCTATTCACGTC